AATGGGAACGGGTTCTATTTGAATTGTTTTTTCATGTTTTCCACTGGGAAGTTGGCCGTGTGGACCTTTCGGGTTGCACCCAGACCACTGCAGAGCACTGATATTTGTAATATTTATATGCAGTCTTATCAACAAGATCAGCTTGCCAAGTCTCATCGAGACGACTTATATCCACATGTTGTCATTGATAATTTCTTTTGACTGGTTTATGAAGCTCTTCCGCAATTCGTCTTTTTTTCTTGTTTATATTAACTGAGCTTCAGATCTTGCTTGCAATTTTTTCTAGACGTTCTCCTTCAGCGATTTCATAATGTCGGTATGGCTGCTATCTGCCTCTTTGAACGTATCTTATTAATAAAGTTAATAAAATTCATTTATTGTATCGAATTCAGACTTCAAATTTTGTTTCTTTTGTATTAAAGATTCTATCGTATTACTGATAGTAGTTCTAACAACTTTTAATGATATAGCATCATTCAGATCTACTAACTCAGCAAGGTTGCACAATCTTTTCTGACTCATATCATACTGTTCATCAATTGTTAATCTATATCCATTACCAGGTGGACCGTGAACAGCACTTTTTCGTGAATCATTGTCCAACTAACGTCCAAAAATGTCTACACTCATCCTCCTCTTTAAGAGATAATTAGTCAATGAATAATGACATTAAGCATCTCATTAATATATAATTACAGCTTTACTAAGTTCTTCAATAATTGCCATTATTCCATTGTTATGGCTCAAATTACCAGCATCATTTAATGGAACAAGTAGACGCAATCGATCAACAAGTTCATTTGGATCATCTTAATAAACATAGTCTACAGGTCGATTATGATTTGTCATATATTTTTGCAAACCTTTACCACATTCCGGTAAATGTTTGCTGATAATATTTTGATGAATTTTTGAATAATTATTTTCTCTAAGACTTCTATCAGGGTGATAAAGTTTATGATAGGCGTAAGTGCTTTTCAAAATTTGACCATAAGTTTTCTCGTCACTTTCTGTTGTTATGTTTTGATCAGGCAATTCCATAAAAAACGATTCTAATAGACCAGGAGTACTATTATATTTTTTATTACCAATGTAAACGAATTTATCATCAAATTTTGCTTCAGAGTTATCTATCATTAGTTTATTTTCTTACATCGGACTTAGAATCCAATTCCTTCACTTGATGTTTTCAATGCAGGTAACTCTTTAATCGGTATACTCTAATGAGGAGCTGTAGTGAATGATCTATCATCAGTGGTTGCACTATTATGCACATTATAATCAACAGTATCATCATGTGCTGTTTTGAAGCTTGCAGCTCCTTCTGCAGAATCTTTTTCGATTAGCTCGTTTTTTTTGCATCAAATTTTTCTCCCGTGTTTTAACTACTAATTGTTGTAGGGGAGTTACGACGAGATTAAACATTTTATTCATAGCTTGCTGAGTTATTTTTCGTTCATGTTTAATAATTTTATGTTTACGTCGTATTACATCACTCAGTTTCGCAATTTGATGCAAAACATCAGCTCGTTTTTGCATTTTCCTTAACTTCATACTAACACTTTTATGATTGTGACACAAAGTTTTTTTTTCTCGTATTGTTGTTTACTTTTTGTGTCAATGAACTAATTAAATCCTTTTCTATAACGTCCACTATTAATTAATTATTAATTAGAAATTAAGTTGGTAAGAAATATGTTCTAGGAATTAACTGTTCGAATAAAGTTTATATATAAGACAAAAAAATACTTCCGACCAGTCAATTTAGCCATAGACATCATCGAATTCGCAGCTAAGTAAACACCTTCGAGTAAAAATACATTAACATTTAGTAGTGCATTGTTAAAAAAAATATGGATTACATCAACAGCATCGCCAATAATACATGAAAACTTAAAAAAATAATAGCAAAAACAACAAAACCGTATAAAGTGACAGGATTAAGAAAGTGAATGCGAAGCATGGTGATGCAGTCATTGCAACATTGGATGACGAATTCATTGCTTTTCTACCGAAAAGATCAGTTAAAGCATTTAAAGATAATGATCATGCATTGAACATGTTCCTGGACTTCATCAAACGCGATAAGTTGACACTTTACTACTTTGGCGGAGAATGAAATAACTTCAACTCCATTGAACTACATAAAGAAAACGTCTTAGAGGGTTACACGAAGCGAAACAATTGATTCAACAAGAAGTACACTTAAATGCATTTTAAATGATGTAATCAAATTCATGTTAATAATTCTAAAATAAAATTTATTAAACTTGAACGTTTTTGACATTTACTTGTAGCACCTTCTAATAGACGACTAAATGATCGCTAAATTTTTTCTAAAATTGGAATCTTACACTCGCCACAACAGCAGCGTCGCATGATGGAGTATGTTAGTAATGATTGGACTTAAATTTCGTAGAACCTGATTCGAATTACTGAAATAATACCCATTGGATGAAAAAGGTTGGTAACAATTACCAATAAAAGTTTTTTGAAAATTTTAATTTTTTACTCATTGTAATAGTACTATAACAATGGCCTTCAAAAATTTTTTGAAAAGTTCACATTACAATTTCTTATATCAGCGCCATCTAGTGGAAAAGATCGATCATAATTACCAGCTGCAGATCGGTACAGCGCTATCTAGCGAGAAAATTGGCAACTATACCTGAAGTGGATAAGCTGCCGATTCTGGTGGTAAACTACCGACTTTGTCGGTAAAAGTAGAGTGATCCAGAGCCCCCCTACCTATTTACTAACTCCTTACTCCGCCGTTTCTTGTGTTAGAAGAACCAACCTGAAAATTTCGTCCACTGAGAGAAACATCACTTTTTAGACCGAATAATGCACATGTGAAAATATCAAAATCTGGAAAACTTACTTCAGATAAAATATTTACTTTACAAAAAAATTCAATCTTGATTGATTTGTGGAGTGGACATTGTTACTTTGAAATGAGAAATTATAAATAATTGATTAGTAGATAAGTTTGAAATGAAAAAAATAGAATATATTGATCATTTTCGACAAAGTAGTAGATATTTACAGATTATCTTATCATAATTTATTGATAATAATTTTTGAAAAATTTCGTTAATTATCGACCATCAAAATATTCGAATATGGCGTGATATTTAATTTTAATCAACCTTGAATATTTCTATTGTAACCGTTACTGAAAAATATTAATTTTGTGTTAAATAATATGTAGTGACTAGATAAACTGTAGTGATTGCCATTGAAACAGAATAACAACAAAAAAATAAAAATAAAAAGCAAACAAATGAAAATTAAAACAAACCTAAAGTAAAAAGTTATAAGTCTAAGGAAAACAAAAGTTTATGGAAAACAAAATTAATAAATCACTAAAAAGTCTACAGATGAAAACAATAATTCAACAAATAAATAAAAAGATCAATAAAAATGACAAGTATACTTGAAGGACTTTTTAATGTTTTAAAGTAACATTGGAAGCCAAGTACTTCTCCTGATTCTGGAGAACATACAACCATTCATAATGAATTGATTTTGGATGAAGTAAATAAAATATTTCATGATGATGATAATGATAATAATAATGATGAAAAAATAAACAAAAGAACAAAATATGATATCAAAATTAGTCCTAAGTTATGGAATAATCAATTATAGCATGAAAGAACAAAATTAAATATTTTTTTTTTTTGGAAAGAAAAGAAGTAAATATAAATAATTGCAAATCATCGTGCTTACAATTTAAAATACAGTTAATTAATGTTACTATTGTTCTGTTTCATATTTACAACATTGTTTAATTGAAATAATTATCAAATGCTGTAAAACATTAAAAATTTATTTCTCTAAAAAAAAAGTTACAACTTTCAATGATTTCGGGCGACGCTAGGGTGTTTCGCTAGTCATTATATGAAAACAATGATGAGATGAATATTACTGTACAACATTAAGATTTACGTATTTTACCAAGTGAAAGTTCAATACATATTGCCGAAGCTATTCGTGAAAAACGCCTGAAAAAGTCAACTGTCTACCTTTATCACGACAATGGTCGTCCTCACACTGCTTCAGCGACTCGACAAAAAATAACCGAGTTTAGCTGGCACCCGGTTGCACATCCACCTTACTCACCGGATATTGCGCCTTCAGATTATCACTTGTTTATGCTCATAAAATTTGTAGTTTTTTTACTGCCGTTAACTTCAATTAATGTATTACTAAAAAACGAACAAGTCTCATTTTTTCATCTAATAGCTTTATAATATACTAATCACACTCCCCTTTTTTACCATTTTACTCTCTTCTAAAAAAAAATTTTTTTAAAGGTTGTTAATTTACAGATTACGTTGATAAATTATTACAGGTAAAAATTCATAAGAAGTCAACAACACTCCACTCTGGTTAATAACTATGAGAAAACTAGGATGACCTACTTTATCCTCTCCCTCCGATCGAAACCCGAGTTCTATAACACTACATCAAAAATCTGAGAGGACTACGGTAATTATGATCATGATTTATCCGCTCAACTCTTCAAATCTATGTACTTTTGTAGTATGATAGAAAAAAAGTAACGAATGTGTAAGCATTATTAATAAACGGATAAAAAATTAAAATTTATGGAATGTTCTAATTTGTAGTGAAATATAGCAATTAAATTGTAAAAAAAAAAACGTTCGTTCTTATTTATGTAACATAGTCAGTACCTTTACTTCGATCAGAAAAAAAATGGATTGAATGAACTTGAATATCTTGCATATATCTAAATGCATACTCATGAAAATTATCTCTCACATTACTATGTGATTTTCACCAATAATTTTTCCCGAATTCTGTTAATAGATTGTAATGACTAATACAGTTACATAAACACGACAATAATCTAATTGCTGACGATCTTCTGTACTACAATTGATTGCTTGAATGACAACATCGAACATTATATTTTATAAAAATAAGGATCAACACATAACGATTCATGAATTATCATGGATTAAATCACTTACTTTTACATGTTTTAGAGGACGTCTTCCTTTGTACCAAGTTATAATAGCTGGTGGATTTGATCCAGCAGTTTGACATTCATAATCATAACGATGTTTCGCTTTGACAGGCTCATCTGCACTCTTAGAATCCATTCGGCTAATTTTGATTACAACTGGTTTAACTATAATCATAAATCAAGATGCTAATGATCAACATGCTCTTCTACATATTCTATTATGTATCAAACAATGTATAACTCTAAACAGAGAGGTTCTCAACCCGCGTCGGTTAGACTTTAATGAAAAGAGGCAAATCAAAAGTTAAACTCCCAAATCAATGAATAAATTCCGAATCGAAATAAATATAAATCCGGCACTATTTAGAGAAGTAAACAATTTATGGACTATTGAACCGGCTACCGTTTACAATTAAAGAATGAAAGTGAAGCGGGAGACTCCATGGTATGTGTCACTACTGATAATCATTCAAACTCCGCTCAAATAATTAATTTCGCTCGCATCATAGGTGCGGTATACTTAATCTCGACAGCGGATAGAACAGAAGTCAGACTCTGACTCCTCAATATCAGATGCGTCAGAGACTGAGGACGAAGTCTCACTGACAACCGAGGCAGCCGCACCGAGGTGGAGCATACTTCCGTTTCACCCTTCTCTCACTGCAGAACCCCTATCTCCGCCTCCTAAGGGCGCCGATCTACAGGACTTCACAAACAGGGAAGGTAATTTTCTCTGGACTCCTCCAGAGAGCAAAAGTTCTTTGGAATTTCCCGTTTTCTTCGACTATAACACCAAACACGTATATTACATTGAGTTCTCATCGAGGTCATGAGAAATGTCTATTACGAATACACAGCGCATGTGATTGTCCTGGTGATTAGCTCCTTTGGAGGGATGAGGGACTGCTTTCTGACAGAGCTTCGAACAATACCAGTCGGCCGTAGTCAGGCTGAGATTCTCACGGCTCGTATGCAGAAAGCGGTCATCCTTGGTTCTCTCCGAATCCTAAGACAACTGTAAACAATGACTGAACGGCTGCAGTCCCAGCTCACTCTCAAAGCTGAGAGAGTCGGTTGTCTGCAGGATAATTCCGTCTAGTCAGGCCCCAGGTGGATCAGAGCGCTGAGATCCCTCATCAGACACCTTTAACGAACCGAAAGACGATTATAATGATGATAACAAAAATTAAAAGTATTCATTTATTTAGATGTTTTACTTTATATGTATTGTTATCAAATATAAAAGTTTAAAGCATTCTAAATTCTAAGTTTAAAAAATTCTAAATTCATAATTGAATTTTTAAATACACATTTGTGTTGAAAATCGTTAGCCTATTGAATGATAAATTTTCATAAAGATTTTTCGGTTTTAATCAAATCTTATACATAAAAATATAAAAGGGTATTGCGGATTCGTTCTATAACTGGGTCGTTTAACTTATGCTGCTTTATACGTGATACGTGCGCAGAAATGAGTGAGAGACGCCAAAAGATCATGTGCTCTTTATCATTTAGCTTAGGGCCCTGAGTAATGTTGATAAGCACTGGCGTAAAAATGATTGGCTGTCGTAAAAGTATTGCAACACCACCTGCTGAGTCAAAAAAGTGTCAAAATTCATGTATGACCACCTCGAACTTTTCTTGGCAAACTGTGATTTATTTATTAATTCTTATCTTATAAAAATCATTTAGAAAAATCGAATAAATTAGTGTACATGACTCTCTACTGAGTTTTTTTTAGTGCTAGTAGAGTGATTAAAACAAAATAAATTGTTTATCAAGTGGTAGACTGATGACAGCGAGAGCCGCTATGACACCATGAAATCTAGTGAATTCGGAGTGCAAATGTAATTTTAATTTTAAATTATCATGAAATAATTGAATCGCTGATACTCGTGTCGAGAATTACGCAGAATACCATATGCTTGGTTCGTCAAGAAAAATTTTATAGGGTCATTTTAGTAGAAAATTTATCTGTAGCCCAGCCCTAAGTTTGTAGATAATTTTTTTTATAGAATAACTGTAATAGAATTGGATAGCCTAGTTTAATGTCAAGCACGTGGTAGTTATGAGCATTTAGTATAGTTTACTACTAGAAGTCAAAATATGAAATTGTCGGAATTCGAGATTTCGTTGTAAATGGTAGACTCGCCTACATTTATGTTTATTCCAATAAGCAATTACCAAACGTAGGAATCATTACCCTCAATGTGGGGTTTGGTTCGTCCTGTCTTTCACGTTCACACTAGGTAATGCTGATGTATCCACACAAAATGCGAATAATATTTAACGGATTTAAATGAAAAAGTAACAATGAAATAGATTGTAATAGTCGGTTCGCATTTTGATTGCAGTGTTTTGATTGACGGCTCAAGTTGATCCAACGTGAAAGTGTAATTGCGGCTAAACTTGAAAAGAATGCCCAAAGAGTTATCAGAAAGGTTATAGGCTACTTTTTGTTTATGTAAATTAGTTATAAAAGTTTAATTTGTTATAAACAAATAAGAACACGGTTTACGCATCATTTCCGATTTCTTTTCACGGTAAATTTTTTCCTTGACGAAAAAAAGTAAACTAGAGATAAACACGGGTTGCTATAAACATTCTAATCGTCAAGCAACGTCAACAACTTATGAAACTGTCGTTAGATTTCTTTCAACGAAAAATGCTTTCTTTTACTGAAGTCTAAGTTACTACTAATAACTACTAAGAACGTCAAATAAATAGCAACAAACTCGTTTTGCTTATAAAAATTGAATTCGTTGTCGAAAGTTAAAAGATAATTTTTCGCAATGTATCTAAGGATTTCTAGTCTTGCGAAAAAATAATTACTTCCCTGGTAAAACAAACCGATAATATTTGATAGATATAGTAGCGTACAATTTTTATGCATAGAATAAAGTATATTGATAAGTGTAACTCATGAAATAAGTAAATGTGATTGGTAAAGTTTATGCTTCATTTATTCTACAGAAAAATAAAATAAAATTCCCATTATAAAAGAACATATATAATACAAATACATGAAGATTAGTATAACACATGATTGATCTCTTCTGTTATGACATACTGTACTACATCAAAGGTTGGGCCATCTTTAGTGCATATCACCAGTATACGATCAGTATCAATACGGTGTGTATTGAATTCTATAAATTTACGTAAAATTATTGTTTCTTTATTGATTTCAACAGAAAAGATTTACCAAAATCATGAAAAATAGGCGGTTTTTCTTTTTTTGGAGTGCTAGGAATGAAATTAAATGTTGGTCAAAAAGAATTGAAAAAATGATTAAGTTTGAGCTGATGTTTAGGTGTAATAGTATTGCATAAATAATTATTCAATTGATAGATGTACTCGACTTTGAACAGCTTCGGCTCTGAACATTCAGCAGCCAATCAGGCGCGAGCAGGGGTGACAACGTCACCATTCACAACGACAGCCCTGCTAAGGCCGGAAGCGTGGCTACCACGCGACAAACCGCTAGTATACTCCAGGCAACTCGAGGCTGAACGCCACGCGGTCAACTCTCAGGTTTCTCACCTTGTTAATATCAGTTAATGTTCAGTTCAATCACATTCAATCAAGTTAATTAATTGTGTAATTAGTTCATAAGTGTTTTCAATAAAGAAAGTTTACTCAAAGGGAACTACGTGAGTCTGAAAAGTCATTTCATGACCACACCTCGTTCCGCATCCAACCTCAATCCAGCATTGTTCATGCTTAGGCGAATTATTTATACAGTCCACCACGTATTTGTTATTGCACAATTAATCTAAACGCATATACTCCCAGACACCTCAAACCATTCGGTCCTTCGAGCCGGATTGAGGCCAGTTTGGATGTAAAAATCGACCAACTCGGGATGAAGACAAATTCCTTTAAACGATCGTGAGTGCAACAAAGACAGACAAATCATCAAGTTAGTGCTCTCACTTCAACGCACAGACAAGTCAAGTAATTTTTAGTGTCTTAAAACTCGATAGTTACTCTAGTTTAGCGCATTTTTGTGAAGTAACCAAAGGACAAAGACTTATTTGTCACATTCCACAGTGCAGTGATACACATCCTTGTTGTAGTGCAGCAATAGTGCTCAACCCAAACCAATTTACTTTTCTCTTATACTTGAAATCGCGCAATTCTGGGAATCGTTCGCATAGGTGAAGTGACCTCGGACACTACAGCTGATCCTTTGTTCAACAATGTTATAAAGTGTGAGTGATTAATTGTTAAGTGACACCAGGGTTCGGCATTAATATTTTTTTTTTTCAGTATTATAGGGCAAAATTATCAATTACTTCTGTAATGGATGATGATTAAATATGTGTTCTTACAAACTTATTTATGTTCTCAAATATAGTTCCTAATGTTCCAATGGATGTTCTGTTAATATGGAATACGTTCTAACGATATTATTCATGTCCTCATAGTGAAATGTGCCTTTAAACATTCGTCGTCATTTTATAATACTAGAACATTTTTCTCGAGCAACAAACATGTGTTAAAAAACAAATAAAAAGAAAAATTATAATTCTTCCGGATGCATCAGTTGAAAGATCATCGTCTATTTTTAAAAAATGAATTTTCCAATCACCATAATTGTTATCAGAACTATTTTTTTTTAAAAACAATCAAAAATTAACATGCTACAAATAAATTTTTTAATAAATCCAACATTCTGTTGATAATTGTTTATAAATAACCTACAAATTGGATTCAAAAAAATTTTATATAATCAAAATTCCGCATTTGTTTAGAAATTTATGTATAAAAAATGCTGAAAAAAATTGTTTCTTACTCTTCCCATGAAAATATAAAACTTTGCTGTAGATAATTTCTATATTAAAAAAGAATTTTACTTCCAATATAAGAGTGAAAGAATCCAAAAACAACATTTGAATTTTTTTAAGTATAAAAAAAATTTTTATTATAAAACTGAGATAGCTATTTCATAGAGCGAGAAAAATCCTATCTGCTTCACAATTAGCTATAAAATGTGCCCATAAACTTATAAAATATAAGGGTGCAAAATTCACGAAAAAAATTTAACAAAAAGACGCTTCAGATACTATAAAAAATCGAAAAATTCATTTTTTTTTTAATTTTAATTGAAGAATGTTCAGAAAAAGATTCCGAACATTCCAGAATTTTTCCAGATTTTTAAG